GGAGCCAGCGATGGGAGCTGGGCACGGGTGAAGCTGGCAGTCCCGGGAGCTTCCCAGCCCCGCACCCGGCTTCTGCAATCCGTGACAGCAGAAGCTGGGTGCCGGTCAGGGAAGCGTCCGCCGCCAGCGTATCCGGCCGCGGCTTCCCTGCCCCCCACCCAGCTTCTGCGATTGGTGATGCCTATTTTTGCATGTCACATAACTGACTGCCCTCCCTGGAAGCACAGGAGACGACGAAGAAGCCCCCAGAAGTAGAAGCCACCCACCTTTGGTCCAGGCGCCAGCGCCTGCAGCTGGCTGCAGTCCAGAAGACGGACAAGCTACTGGCCAGAGGTCCCAGACTGCAGCCACCCGGAGAAGCTACCAGCCCTGTCTGTGGTCCAGGGTGCCAATGCCTGTGGCCAGGGAAACAGGTTCCCTCTTCTCCTACTGTAGTCATTACTTCAATATTCCCCTTCTGAATTTCTCTCCTGTGCTGCAACCCAACTCCACTTTTTATCGGAAGGATACGGAACAGAGAGAGCAGTGTTAAAAGCTTACATTTTTAAGCCGGTAAGGTTGGTACTTAAACATATAAATGGAAAACTAGAGTCCTTAAGGTAACAAAGGCTACAAAGGACAGGGACAGCGCATGACCTATTATATCCAGCAATCCATATGGGGACTGAAAACTTTGCAATGATGACAATTACTGAAGATATGAATCAACTAAAATAGTTGACAGGGACAATTCTTCCATCTTTGAAAATATCTACATCAAATCTGTTTAAATAGATTTTCGTCTGCATAATATAACACATTCTGACAAGACCACCATCACCACCAATATGGTCAGTGTTGTGCTGTAAAATGTTTAATAACTGAGGGACCCCCCCCCCTTCCCCGCTTGAGTGCACAAATTTTGTGCACCGGGCTACTAGTAAAGATATATTTATCATCAAATAAAAAGACGTTTAGACAGATAGACAGACCCATGTACAGGAACAATGTGTGAAGAGGAAGGCAGAGATGGGGGAGATGCGTCTATAAACCAAGGAACACCAGCCACCCACCAGAAGCTAAAGGCATGGAACAGAGTCTCCCTCACAGCTCTCGAAAGGAACCAACCCTGCCCACACCTCGACCTTCCAGCCTCCCGAACTGTGAGAGAATAAGTATCTGTTTTTGAAGGCCCTAGTCTGTGTTATAACAGCGCTAGGAAACGAACACCGGTGGGATGATGCTGACAGCCACTCCTCACCGGATGTCTTCTCCCTGCAGCACTGCCCCCACACCATTCTGTGTGGCCCTCTATCCCCAGTACACTAACTATCCTTACCCTTAAACATCCCCCTCCCCCAGCCCCAGCCCATTTGCTCTTGTGTTTGCATTGGCACCGGCCTAGGTCTCAACCCTAGCCTTGCCAAAAGTCCGTACGTGGGCCCTTTACTGACCACAGCCCCAAGGCCTCTCACCCTGGCTGGGGACGAATCCTTTAGAAGAGGACCTCAGCCTCCTGGATCATGCCCTTCCAATGAGTGAACAGCCTGCTTTCTGCCCAGTCTCACTCAATACCTTATCATCGATAGCCAAAGTGAAGGCAGGGCTAGGCCCAGGGGGAATATGTGTCTCCCTGGTGATTCTTAGAGATTCACTGGGGAGATGAAATAGACATACTAAGCAGCGGTCCAGATTCCTGAGAGGTAGAGATCATCACTGGAGACTGGCTGGGGAAGTCAGGGAGGGCTTCCTGGAGAAAGAACCTATGATGGCTTTGCTGGAGAGGGTGAGGTGATTTTTATTGCATGCATTCTAGGAGCCAGGCATACTCATATGCTTTTTTATTTTTATTTCTTGTCCCTTGTGACGCAGGTGATATTATCTAAATTTTATAGATGAGAAAATGGAGTCTCAGAGAAGTGAAATGATTGACCTGAGACCACATGGTTTTGTACATGTTAGAGGCATTGTTTAAATTGAGGGCCCTCTGACGTCACAGCTCATCTTACTCTTTCTTCTGCATCCAGGCTCTGCCTTTGCCAGGGTCCAGTAGTGTCTAAAGGACTGATGAAGGTCAGAAGTGCATGAGAAGAGGTACTCCAGGTTGTCGGAGGAGCAGGGTGGGGACATACTGGATGAGTCTGGGGAGACAGGAGAACACTGGGCTATGGGATCTCGGGGATTCAGAGGGAACGATGGGGACTGAAGCTGGAAGAGTAAGAGAGCCGGTCATTTATCAGGCTGAGCATTCAGACTTGATGGTTAAGTAGTGAGTGAATGAGTTCTGGGGTGAGGGATACAGAGCTGGTGTTTTGGAGACCTATCTCTGTTTTTATTTATTTCAGAGAGGAAGGGAGAAGAGAGAGATAGAAACATGAATGAGAGAGCATTGTCGATCGGCTGCCTCCTGCATGCTCCACACTGGGGATCGAGCCCACAACCTGGGCATGTGCCCTGACCGGGAATTGAAATGTGACCTCCTGGTTCATGGGTCAAAGCTCAACCACTGGGCAACACCAGCTGGGCTTGGAGACCTATTTTGATGGGCAAGGGGCCAAGTTGCCAACTTGCTGTAAAGGCTGTTAATGGGAAGCAGGTGACCATGTGAGATGGGCCCCCATTCCCTCCTCCAACCCCAGCTCCAGATCTCCCTGGGTAGGGGAGAACGACCAGCTTGCCTCCACGGGCCACTGCCTGAGCGCCCCCTCTACCTGGGTCATCTTCCACATGGAAGGTCAACTCTACCAACGCTGGGCTCATCCTCAGCTATTCCTCCCATTTCCTAGAGGGCTCACCAGGCCCTAAGCACCTCCCACAACCACCTGACCCTTCCCCTCCTCCATGCCTTTGCACGAACTTTTCTCTCTGCCTGAATACTCAGTGTTTTCTCCTCCTCAGCGAACTCCTATTCACCCATCAAGATCCAGTTCAATTGTTCATTTTCTCCTGCAACATTTGTGACTTAGAGGCAAGGTTCAGCCCCTCCACAATCCCTCCCACCTTTCTCTGTTGCCATTGTCTGTTCTGAGTGAGTTTTAGGGGGTGGGAGGCATGATGCAGGTTTGAGTTGCTCTTTCTGGTGGGTAGAAAAGGCCACGGTTGGAGGGGCAAGTGATCTAAACCCGCCTCCTCGAATACCAAGGGGCCCAGGATGAGGTGGGATGGGGTGCATTTGAGCTGGACTGTGAAGGGCTCAGCTGGCCAGCAGCTTGGAGCAGGGTGTGTGTGTCCAGGGGGAAGCACACTGCAGGGGGTGGAGTGGCTGGGGCACTCCCTGGCCACGGGGCAGGCTGAGGACAGACACTGCTTTGGCTTGAGGGGCTGAGGCAGAGGATGAAAGAGGATAGTGCCTGAGGCATTTAAAAGGAAGAATGTTTAGGACTCAGGGCTGCTGAGAGGCGGAGTGTATGAGTTGGAAGGTGAAAGGTGCTCCCTGGAGTTGGAGTTGCAGATTATCCAGGACAGAAAAGCAAAGAAAGCCTGGGGAAAGCAAGGCCACCCCTCAGCTCCCACCCTGATGCACATCACGACAGTGTCAATATACACACCTAGCTTGTGATCAAGTTCTGTTTATTTTAGAAGCATAAACAGTGGAACGAGGAAGGAGTGATGAGAACAAGACACCGGCCTCCTTGACAGGGCTCTGTGTGTGTAATCCAGGCCTACCCAGCAGCCTGGTCCAGCCTCTTCCTGCGAGGAGAGGGTGTGAGGACAATCTGGGTGGAGGAGAAACTTCCATGACGGTGGGGGTGGAGTAACTTGGCTTCGGGCCCCTCTGAACAAAGTGAAAAAGGCCAGAGGGCCGAAGCCTTCAGTCAAGAGCACCCCGAGCTGGCTCTGTCTGTGCCTGCGGCAAAGCCAGGTTCTGGAGGGGAAACCATGAGGTGTCGTCTGGTCACCAGGAAGGTCCCAGGTGTCCAAGAACAACCAATAGTGAGGCCCCATGGCCAGCAAGCACCCGCTTCCCCGCCCTAGTCATCTCTGCAGAGCCTTCAAGGAGGGGGCACCCAAGGCAGCCGGACTTCCCAGGCCCCGCTGTTGGGTGACACAAGTCCCAGGTTCCTACAAATACTGTTTCTTAGAAGCATGGCTGCTGGGATATTTCTGGCTACTCTGAGGGTACGGGTCCAGGAAGGGGGGTGGCCTAGAAGCAGCCAGCCTCTCCTCTGTCGTCAGGTTGGCCCAGTTCTGCTCACTGGATGAGAGCCCGCTGTAGACGGGGCATGGCTCGGATGAGGGCTCCTTGCCCATGGGGAGGTAGAAGACCTGGTTAGCGTAGGGCTCCGGGGTGGTGCCCTGAGCGAGGGGGGCATGCTGGCCCTGCTGGGCCTTTAGTCTCCGCGTGAGGTAGCGGTACAGCAGGTGCACCAGCTCCAGCAGGTTGAGCAGCAGGGAGATGAATCCGACCACCTGCATGAAGATGATAAAGATAGTCTTCTCAGTGGGGCGAGAGACATAGCAGTCCACCGAGTGGGGGCAGGGTGCGCGGTGGCACACATACACGGGCGCCATGGTCCAGCCGTAGAGACGCCACTGGCCGTACAGGAAGCCTGCCTCTAGGATGCTCTTGCAGATCACACTGAGCACGTAGGTGCCCATCAGCGCCCCTCGGATCCGCATGCGGCCATCTTCGGCCACTGAGATCTTGGCCATCTGACGCTCGATGGCTGCCAACGTCCTTTCCACGCAGGGGTCCTTGTGCGGCAGGGCCCGCAGCTCCTCCTCCTTCTGCCGCAGCCGCTCCTCACGCCGAGACAGGTGAATGACGTGGGCCAGGTAGATCAGCGTGGGCGTGCTGACAAAGAGGAACTGCAGCACCCAGTAGCGGATGTGGGAGATGGGGAAGGCCTGGTCGTAGCAGACGTTGGTGCAGCCCGGCTGGGCCGTATTGCACTGGAAATCCGACTGCTCGTCACCCCACACGGACTCACCGGCCAGGCCCAGGATGAGGATGCGGAAGATGAAGAGCACTGTCAGCCAGATCTTGCCCACCACAGTGGAGTGCTGCTGGACCTGGTCCAGCAGCTTTTCCAGGAAGCCCCAGTCACCCATGGCTCCTGGGCTTCTGTCTGCAGGGAGACAGAACACACGGTCAGCATGGCACCTTCTCAGCCGGCCGAGCAACAAGCCCTCAGCAGGGTGGGCCATGCCCTTTTACCTACAGGGAAACTGAGGCGCAAAGCGGGGAAGGGACTGGCCTGAGGGCTCGCACCCGGCAGGGTGGTCAGGACTAAAAGCAGATCTTTGGAGGATGGCTGCTAAGCTCTGGCAAAGGTCCTGTCTAGTCACAGACACCCGTGTCCCTCTTGTTCCCAGGATGACCACAGCCCAAAAAGGATTCAGATCAAACCGAGGCTCCTGAGCCAATGGGAACAGAGAATTTGAGGAACGTGTCCAAGGAAGGTCACACAGCTGTGCCATGTCCCTCGTCCCTTTTGTCCGGGACAGGCTGTCCCCAGACAGTGGGAGGGGGTGGTGGTGCTATCTTCAGCTCCTCAGGGTGCCCGAAGCCTCCGGTCCCTGCTCCCTTCCTCTGGTCTCATTCTAACTTTTGAGTTTGTGGCAGGAGGGGGGTCAGCATCCTGCACGAGCTCCACCTGCCAGCAATAGGGACCCGCACTTAAGTATGGACGCCTGATCCTGCCCCCTTCCTCCATCCCAAGACCCCCCAGGCTGCTGCTGCCAAATTCTAGACTCTTAAATTGTCATAGCAGGGGAGAGGCACAGGCCGCAGAGTTCCCAGAACATCTTGGGGCAGGGGAGGTAGGGGAAGGAGGAGCAAAGGAACCAGACCTGGGTTCCAATCCTGACTCCCTCTTACAAACGGGAGACCTGGCTTATGTGACAACCTCTTAGCGCCTCTCTTGTAAAATGGAAATAATACTATTCCTGCCTCCTGAGGTTATACGGGTAGAGTGAAAATAGAGAGGAACCTTGCTTCGCACAAAGCCTGGCCACGGGCAGACTGGATGAATGCCGCTAAGGTGGTTCGCACCCCACCGCCCTCACGCCCCGCACTGCGCAGCAGCCCCCAGCCCCAAGCGCAACT